CAAAATGAGTGACGAGGGTGCAGCTAACCCGGACAAGGACGACATCGCGCAGCTCGTCCGCATCAAGACGGACTTCCCCCGCGTCAAGCTGGTTCTCTACGGCGGCCACGGTGCCCCTCTGGTAAGACCCTCTCCCTTCCTTCCTACCTTTACGCAATTTCAACGCTCCCCGTATAAACAACCCCCCAACCTGACAACACCACAGGTCGCCCACCACCTCGCCGAAGCAGCCATCCCCGTCATCCTCACGGGCAACCGCGGCGCCCCGGACCGCTGGGAGAAGAAGGACATCCCCGTGGGGCCCCCGCTGGCCGAAAGTGCCGCGAAGACGCTCCTCGACGCCGGCGTGCAGCTCGGGCTCGCTGTCGTGGGTGACTCGGGGGTCCATGCGCTGGCCCAGCATGCCCGGGTGGCCGGGAAGCAGGCGGGATTGTCGGATCTGGAGGCGATCGCGCTGGTGTCGACGAGTCTGGAGGAGATTCTGGGGCTTCGCTCAGGGCAAAGTGCGAGGGGGGAGGGAGAGGCGTATGTGGGGGACTTTGTGGTTTGGGAGGGAAATCCGTTGCGCGGGGAAGGGTCGGTGGTTGTTTCGGTGCTGGAGGGCGGGGAGGTCGCAGATTGTTGGCCGGATAGGGTTGGGGCTGTTTTGTAGGGTTGGCCAGGGGAGCTGGTTGAGGGTGAGGTGGGGGGGGGGGGGATTGAGATACGTTGCAAAGCGAGACTATATCCTGATTACTACAAACATATGGTTTCTATATCCCCGCCTGGTTAAAACGATGTAGGCACCAATATCACCACTCAAGCCAACCTCTCCAAGTCCAAGTCCAACCGCCACACATCGCCCAACCGCTCATTCGACTCGGCCAAACCCCCATGAACAACCACACTTACACCTGACCCACCCCCCTCAAGCACATCCGCAGCAAACCACCCCCTCGCCACCGGCCTGTCCCCGTCCCCGTCCCCGTCCCCGTCCCCCTCCCTCTTCCCCTGAACAAGCACCCACTTCCCCGCCTCCAGATCGAAAACCCAAACATCCCCCAACATCATCCCAGCCCCCTGATGCCCCAAAGAACTAGGATCACACTCCCCGAACATGGTCACCAGAACCCAACGCCCCAGCCCCGTCCTAGCAGCAAGCAAACACCCCACACTCCTGGCCCCGGGCCCGACCACCCCATCCGCCACAAACCCAACCGTGCGCCACACATCCGCGACGGGATCATAGACATCCACCGCCCCGCCTTGCTCGCGCGTCCCATCGAAGCCATTCATCCGGTACACCTTCCCGTCCGCGAAGGCGAGCGAGGCGCCCCCGCGCGCCGGGCCGGGGGCCGGGGCGCACTCGCGCCAGCGGCGGGTGGTCAGGTCGAAGGCCCAGAGGTCGCGGAGGCGGCCGGCGGCCGGACAGCCGGCGTGCAGGTAGATGGTGTCTGTGCCGTTGGTGGTTAGGGCGTGGTAGCTTCGGCCGACGGGGAAGGGGGCGGCCGGGTCGGAGGGGGTCAGTTGCGTCCAGACGCTGTCGGTGGAGTCGAAGACCCAGAGGGCGCCGCGCTCTTCGAGCGGGGCCATGGCGGCGCCGCCGCGGCCCGAGAAGATGTAGAGTTTGTTGACGAGGGCGGTTGAGGCGGTGCCCACTCGGGGTTGTGGGTGTGGGTGCGCGGTGGAGGTTGGGGTTGGGGTTGGGGTTGGGGTTGGGGTTGGAATTGTTCGGGGTGCTGGTTGGGGTTAGTTCGGGTACTGTATAGCTTGCTGAGTTGATATATGAGTGGGAGCGGCCTACTGGGGCTCACAGCGAGACGGTATACGGTTGAGTCGACGGGTTCGCGGGGCCGCAGCTCGCCGCCGTAGATGTAGGCGTGGTCGCCTAGGATGGTGAGGGTCTGCGATGACCTCTGGATTGAGGGAGAGGTATCGGACAGAAGCTGGGTCCAGGTAGCGCGCACCATGGTGGCTGGATTGATCGTCAGGGGTTATGAAATGATGAGAAAAGGCGTGCCTTGACTCCTGGATGGTGGCCGTGAACTCGGTTATATAGACGGTGATAAGTTACTTCCTGGGCCGACTTGTATGCTTGCTCGCTGGATGTGGGTCTGACTGGTGTGTATCGCCGTAAAGCTGATACGGGCGTAAAGTATGCCCCGATTAGGTTTAGAGCATTAGTCTTGGCATTGATTAGTAGTTCGATCGGCCATCGTTTTTGATGCACCCTCGATTCTCTTAGTTCATGAAAGCGGGGTTTTCTCCATCCATGTCGTGCCATCCGCGTCGTGTCCGCATACCACGACATCAATTGGCTGGTTGATGTCCAGCAGCTTCGATTTTGGGATGTCTTCCGGCACGGCCGGCAAAACCAACGTTACCGCCCGTGCGTGGGACCAGTATCGCGAGATATGCGAGATGATGCGCTTGGCGAGATGAGTGGGATAGTGCGAGTGCTCGAAGCCTCGTGTCTTTCGTTCAAGCTCCGGCCATACAATGTCGAGAATGTAGTCGAACAGCGTATCGGATCGCCATAGGAAGACCAGTTGGAGAAGGCACTCTGCCAGACTGAATGTGTAGACATCCGCCGTGCTTAATGCCCCAAGGTCCAGCCTGCCAATGACCTTGCATGCACTGTACGCCAAATCATCAAGCTTGTTGGAGGTAGCTGAGTTCAGGTCGATGGGCGGGTTATCAGACATGCACGCCCCGTGGGCTTCCTCGAACATCATCTCGCAAAGAATGCAGTATACGGCATTCATCGCATCACGATGGCTAGGATATACCGGTTCATAGGAAGTCAAGGGACACTCCGGTAGTTCTTCCGTAGCTGTATCGACAGCTGCAGTGCAGCGTGGTCGCCTGTCATTCACCCGCGACCTCCACACCTCTAGCCGTTCCTTCTGAACCATCAACAAGCCCCGCAAGTGGGAGCCTCGCACAAAACCCTCCTGTGCTTCAACATACTCGTCCGGCGGCGAGCATCTCCCTAGCATCGTGTTCAGCACTCTATGCGCGACACGGCCGATGTCTCTCGACGACTCCTGGATTCGGTGCGTGCCGGCTACCGAGCGAAACACAACCAGCCGCGAGCGTATCTCCATAGACTTGATCAAGATATCATAAATGAGGTCATCTGGACTCATCCCCAACACACAGCTGAGATACAGATGATCGGTGGGGTCTGGAAAGCAGTTCGGGCCGAACGAGCTGATCCCTTCGCCCTCGAGGAGCAGCGAGGGTGGCTTCGACAGTCGATGGGAGACACAGAGCCGATGCCACATCTGCAGGGCCCCAACTCCATCCGGGGAGCGCATGATCTGTTCCCGGCATTGTGCGACAAATCGCAGGGTATCCCAGACTGCTAGCCGGAAACTGAGATGATTCGTCGAGGCGTGGTGGTAGTAAGCGAGGAGAACGAGGGCCCGCAGAATCGAGGCTGCATTGCGTGCCACTTCGCCTGCAGTCGCGGTGCGGCAGAGTTGAAGTGCGCGGTCATGATAATTGCGTGCTTGGCGGTGATGGCGGGAATTGACCAGGGGGCTAAACACAGGGATTTGATGATCATTCACGAGGTGGCGACTCTGGACCGGTGCGTTGAGCATGGACAGGCTGGAGGCTGAGATGCAGAGAGCGGCAGCACGCAGGTAGGGGGCGTCGAAGATATCCTCCACAGACGTCATTGACAATGCCGGTAGCAGATGGCGTACATGATCCTGGAAGTGGCTCAGGTAACGGACCTCAAGGCCGTCCCCAAGATCTAGCGAAGGGGAGAGTCCAGCTGCGGTGAGGTCACTCGCGAGAAGGGGTTTAACCGACGGATCGTATTTACTATGAGCCTTTCTCGACGCAGCGGCGGAATCTGCCGCCGCAGACGACGCGACAATCGCCTGCGTATGTCGCTGGAAGGTTGCTTGATCGGTGTGTCGGAAAGTCAAACTCACCCCGTAACTGCACTCCAGCGATAACCGAACACAGGCGCGGCAGTGAGGTTTGGTTTCATCGCACTGACGCTACATCAGATCGACGGCTCATGGGGCACAATTACAAAGAAACGAACCTTTTTGCCTCTTCTTCGGCATGACTTGCACCCTGAGTGCTTCCGAGTGACCTTGCTGGACCTTGTCCTAGTCGTCGTCATACCATTGGGGGGCATGTTGGCATTTTAGGTCCGGAGTTGGCAGCAAAGCTCTGTTTCTATGGCATCTTGCAACCTGGCAGTGGCGTGTGGGGGTGGTGTCAAGATTCGGAGCCAGGAACTTGGGACGTTGCCCTGACCCTCGGTTACAGTACTAGGTTACAGTACCAGTACCGCAAGCTGCCCTGCCACTTACCCAGACTTACCCATTTGTGGTGATAAATTACGCATACTGGCCTGCCCCCTTACAATACAACAATACGCGCCTATGGATACCCATTCCAGTCTGCACCTTGGGATCATATCATCATTCAATCTTGTAAACCGGGGAGGAACATGCCTCGGAAGAATGTTTCTACGACTAGGTGAATCATGCATGAATCACAATTCCTGATCGGGCTGCCGATCGATACGATCTACCAATGCTGTGTCTAGACCATCGGCGGACGTCGCGGGAAGGCGGAGATAATCGGGGCTAAATGTAGCTAAGCCCCCTTGATCTCAGAGATACGTACTTGAGGATCTGTGCCACACAATTCTAGGGCTGGGTCACTGCCACGTCTCGCCATGACGAGCGTGGTGGACATGCATCATCGAGACAATGGTGAACTCAAATAAGGCCTTTCTTGAGACGAAGCCTGGTTCACTTGCCATTCATCCTTTCCGCATCTTGCGATCAACCAATGATCGGCCACGAACCTTGACTGCTCTCTTACTCATCGTAGTTACAGCATGGTGAAGCCATGATGACGCCCCAGCCAGCAACAACAGCCACAACACATCTATAAAGTCCGTCAAGTCGGGCTTTCTTCAGTTTCATCATCAACAGTCAATTGAACAATCCAGACCTTGTTTGACCAAGCATACCTTCAACAACATTTCGACCAATTCCTGCACATATATTTCCCTGTGAACCAGCACATATCACACATCCTTCCATCATGCAGAACGAGTACGGACAGGGCATCTCCCACGCCACCGGTGGCTCCAGAGTACCGGAGAAAGTCCAGCAGAAAGCTCCCCAAGGACTAGAAGAGTCCTTGCCCAACAAGGTATGGCCGCTATCTCCCCATAGGTCTCTCCCCCCTCTAGACTAATGACTGACATGTTGACTCCAGCTCCATGACACCGGCTCCGGAACTGGTCGCCAGACTCACGCCCTCAACGACGGTGAAGACTCTATTGTCCCCAAGAGCATCCAGAAGGCCGTCCCTGAGAAGCTCGAGCGCGCACTGCCCAACAAGATCCACAACACCGGTGATGAATAGATGATCTTGCATAGCGGAACGTCTTCCGTGATTGTGATCCGTGACGATACAGAAGTATTTTTTTTCATGGAGAAATGATTTATGTCATGTTGTATTCAATGTTATGAAATATGAAATAATGGAATTCTGATTTGGTTATCCATCGTCTAAATTCATTCTGTGTAAATAAAGAATTAGTCAAGAACTTCGATTTGTATAAAGATCATTTCGATCCTGAAGTATACATACCCCTTTTCGGAAGATTGACATAGAAGCACCATCGCCATAACGGGGTGGAAATGCAGCTCAGTCATAGTCTTTGACTAGAGTTGAAAGAGAGCTCACATACCAGTTTGTTGGGGAACACTCCACCCAGTGGGTCCGGCAAATACGGCCACACCATACGTGGCCCCCCTCGTGGCCGTATCACAGGTCAGTAAATGATATGTTCGAACCTTGAAGGGTTTACTCACGCAAACAACGGATGTCGTTCGAGTAGTACACTCTGACCCACAATGAGCAGTGCACCGGACAGAGGCCCAGCATCCCCACAGCCAGCAATGGCGCGTCCCAGAATAAGAACGACGGAGCTCGGCGCTACGCCACAGATGACACTTCCCAGCTCAAAGGTCAACAGCGATGTCAGGAAGACCCATTTGATACTGGATATTGTGTAGGGGCTTCCCACGAGGAGTTGCGCGGACGCGGTAGTCAGAAGGTAGGCTGAGATTGGTGTCGGTTATTCGGCAGGAGTATGAAGCGGCTGGGACAAACGTACCACTGCCATACCAGCCTACATCCTCCACCGTGTGGAACTCAGAAGTGACTGCAGGAACCGCTGTGGCCATAATGGAGAAGCTATCAGGGTGTATTGTTAGCTCAATCCTTGCAGGAGCGGCGAACTAGAAGTGTACCTACTCGAGGGATACGAGGATGATTGTCAGACAGATGCCGATGGTGGGTAGCAATAGCTTCCATCCATCTGGGTACTCCTTTTCCTCGGCCCAGGGGGGTTAGCTGCATCGATAGTCGAGGATATTGTGGGCGGACTGCGAGCTGCAAGTGAATGTTGAGTGCAGTTTTAAGAGGGTTGAATAGGCAGTAAGACTACAAAAGCTGGAGAAATAGGTTCTCCTTTGTTTTGTTTATGTTCCCATCCCTTCGGGCGACGCGTAACTTAGCTGAACAGCCCTAGAGCCATCCAAGCAACAAAGACAATGTGACACAAGGCTGGCCGATCTTAGGGCAAGGTTACAAACATCAGCGAGGGGGTTGACTTCACCAAAACCGGTCAGCGAGTCACTGTCGTTCACTTTTCCTAATAGCACTCGACGGAACTCGCGTGTTTCAATGGAGTGATGATGAGATATGAATCACCCTGTTACGCCTCGCTTGCGTTCAGGGAGAAGCATCACTGGCAAACACGGCTGTCTGGCTTCAAAAGTGACCCAAAGACAAGATCCCAGTAAGGTCTTCACAGTGCACCGAAAATGTAATTGCTTTGAAGCAGCCCTGAAGTTAGTTTAGCTAGTAAGTTTTTCTGGTGTCGTTGGCAGATTTCAAGGAAAGTGGCCTAGGATCCGTGGTTTTGTGGACACACTCTACATTCTCTTCTGATTTTACTCGTGCGCCGGAGATGTATCACCCTCGGCTCCCTCTGGTCGGATGAATAGGCCACTAAGCCAACACCATGTCAGAATCGAGCATGGTTCGAGTCTATATAAACGGGTAGATTTATCACTTACCTCTCCGTCTAAAGTAGTGTACGAGGTTCGTGGAGGCTGTGACGCCCAGATGAGATGATGCTGTCAAGCATTACAAGCATCAGCCACAGCATTGTGGCTCAAAGCCTTATCAGTTCAGATAATGGTTGCCTATCTTGGGACGGAGTAAAATCAGCGAATAAGCAAAGCATCCTCAAGCCACTCGGAGTAGATTAATCTTCGACGCTGCTTTCACTGGCCACGGGCGCCATCGGAGTCCGATGCTTACCCTTCCATCCTGCGCCCAAGCACAAATCCTTCGCCATGATGCGGGATGTGATGACAGGTGAGTCAAGTATATAAGTATTGCTGGCTTCTGCCATGAAAGCCTAACGGTTCTGGTCAGGCCTGGCCACTGTCAGCAAGCACTGCTGCTCGACAACTAGCGATACGATATGGCGTCGTTGTCGACACAATGCACGAGTGCCAGCGATGCTGTGTTTGGCCCTCGGGTCAGCGTCGCCTGTCGCTCGTTTGACTTCACGCTTTATTTTGAAGATGTGATGTTCGCGTGCCTGCCCGCGGCTCTTTGCCTGTTGCTTCTTCCGATCTCGGTCTGGCAGCTTTGGCACGAGCCTCGTCGCATCAGGAGGTCTGCCCTGTTGGCTTCCAAGCTAGTATGTTGATTAGCACTATTCCCACGATGCAAAGTAGATACTAACATGCTCAGTTAACACTTGGGACACTATTTGCTGTCCAAATTGCGTTCTTAGCTCTCCGTCAGTCGCAACCTCTAACCCCTGCGGACGGTGCCTCGCTCGCCGCGGATGTGTTGGAAGTGGTGGCCATCGCCAGTGCGATGTGGCTGTCCTACTTGAGCCACTGTCGCTCTATCCAGCCCTCTACGCTGCTGATTGTCTATTTCTCGACTCGTACCCTGTTGGGAATCGCCCGGGTGCGGACGCTGTGGCTCATGCGCGCCGCCACGGCAGACGCCGCCATCTTCACCGTGGAGATCAGCCTAACTTTTCTATCATTGATCCTGGAGTCAATCGAGAAAGCATCAATTCTTGCCGAGAAAGCCGCGAGGCCCGCCACGCCGGAGCCGTTCAGTGGGTTCTGGAAGCTTGCGAGCTTCGCCTGGCTGGCAGGAACCTTCCGCCAGGGCTACTCCAAGGTCCTTTCAGTCCACGACCTGCCTGATCTCGACCCTCAGCTGAGGAGTGAGGTCGTGGGTAAACAGCTTCAGGATGCCTGGTCGCAAACTGGTAATGTTGCGTTGTTTCTTGGGACTTCGTGTCTGTTCTAACAAGACTATGCTCTCGGGCTGATAGAAAACCAAACCGCAAAGTATGCCTTGCTCCGCACCTCGACGCGAGCCTACCTAAGCGCACTGCTCGCAGCGGTCATTCCTCGCCTGCTGCTGACGGGCTTCACCTTCTGCCAGCCCTTTCTGGTGGATGCGACCGTGACATGGGTCGGGAACCGGGACGCGGCCCTGGACTCGGGCAAAGGGCTGATCGCGGCGTTTGCGATCGTGTACACCGGCATGGCGGTAAGTTGCGTACCGGCATGGGTTGAAAGGACATGTGTACATACCTGCACAATGCTGGTGCTGATGTTGTTGGATGAAGGTATTCACAGCACTGTCCGGCTACCACACCTTCCGCTTCACCGTCCGTCTCCGCGCCGGACTGATCTCCCTCGTCCACCACCAAACCGTGCGAACCAGGGCGGTCGACCTTGGGGAGATTACCGGAGTGACACTGATGGGGACCGATGTCGAGCGCATCACGTCGGGCTTCTTCTCCATCCACGATCTGTGGGCCTGCTTGATCGACATCGCGGTCGCCATTTTCTTACTCGCCAGGCAACTGGGAGTTGCGAGTGTTGTTCCGGTGGTGATGGTCGTGGGTAAGTAGATCCCCAGTACCCTATTCAAAAGACATTCAGGCATCGATAGTAACAAAATCCAGTCTTCTTTGGCTGCACGTTCAAGCTCTCAGCGTCCAGCAACACCGCTCAACGCGTCTGGATAGAAAAAGTGGAAGACCGGATCCGATTCACTTCGTATGCGCTGGAGAACATCAAGTCGGTCAAGATGCTCGGCCTCTCGCCGAGGATGTCTGCAATGATTGGAGGATTGCGGTATGCCGAAGTGGCTGCTTCGACGGTGTTTCGGAAGCTGGTGATCGGAAGTGTGGTACTGTGTATGTCGCCGAATCGAATCTCAATGTTGGAAACCCCGCAGGAAAATGCTGACAAGACCTCCCTGTCTGAACAGCGAATTCACCTGCCAATCTGGCGCCGATGGCGACTTTCACGCTCTATGTGATCATCGCTCTCGTCAAACATAACAACTCCATCCTCGCTGCCAAAGCCTTTACCTCTCTGTCATTGATCTCGCTGCTGACGACCCCGGTCTTGACCTTCATCCAGTCGGTCCCATCTGTGGTGGAATGCCTGGGTTGTTTTGATCGGATCCAGGAGTATTGCAGCAAGTCGCTGGGGCCGGATGAGTCTGAGGCACAGCACGAACACGACGGTATCCCCCTAAGCTCACTGAAAACGCAAGCATCAGAGCAGAACGGGAGCGCAGTCGAGTTCACCGGGCAAAGCTTCGCCTGGGGACAAACAACTGCCCCCGTGCTACAGGACATTCACCTGAAGATCCCACGTGGCGCCATAACCATGGTAGTCGGGCCGATCGGTAGCGGAAAGACGACGTTAATCGAGAGTATACTGTGCGAGACAGTCCTCGCAGGCGAGGAAGTCACCAGAAACCATGGTTCCATCGCATACTGCGCCCAGACTCCATGGCTGCAAAGCCAGACCATCCGTGAAAACATCCTTGGGTCGAGTCTGATGGACTCGGCCTGGTACGAGACGGTGATTAGGGCTTGCGGGCTCGAGAAAGACATGGCGCGTCTGCCACGCCGGGATCAGACGCCAGTTGTCAGCAATGGACTGACCCTGAGTGGGGGACAGAAACAACGCATTGTGGGTGGCTTCCAGCCATTGTTTGTTGATAGCATCGTCACTGATATTGTTTCGATAGGCGTTGGCGCGAGCACTGTACGCCCGACCTCGAGTTGTTCTGCTGGATGACATCTTCAGCGGTATCGACGCTACAGCAACGGACAACATTGCGCGCAGCTTGTTCGGCGACAGTGGCCTGTTCCGGGCATTCGAGACGACGGTCGTGCTTGCGACGCATTCGGGTACAGTACCTGGACTTCTGACAACGGGCGCATATGTACCTGGACTGACCAATCATTGGTACAGGTTTCCTTCTTCAATTTGCAGACACAGTTGTCGTGCTGCGTGAAGGCCGGGTTGTTGAAGCTGGTGCACTCGACGCTCTGAAGCAAAGTAGCGACTTTGTGCGCAACCTCAAGGTAACAGTATCAGAAGTTTCTGGTAGCGAGAGTGAGTCGAGCAGCGACTCTGAGCAGCTTGAACATGTAGACAAGCACAGCACCAACTCAGAAGCTGTCGAGTCGGCCGATGAAGACGCCACAGACGATCAGAGCCGCCAGACTGGAGACTTTGCGGTCTACGCTTACTACGCCACTGCGGCCGGGCGCCTAAATATCGTTCTGTCGCTGGTGTTCGCTTTCATGTGGGCCTTCTGCAATGAATTTTCCAGTACGTTGAAGGATGGGTTCTGCATTGTCCGAGGAGGTTTCGCTGACATGGGTCCATAGCTGTGTGGGTGAACTGGTGGACAGCGGCAAACGAGAAGAGTCCCAACTCGAAAGTGGGCATGTATCTGGGAGTTTACATCCTTTTTGGACTATCAGGAGCTATCTTGCTGGTTGCCACTTGCTGGTATGCAGCATCCCACATCGACTACAACCGACTGTCTAACATGCGAACAGGATCACCATCGTGACCATAATCTCCCGCTCAGCACTCAAGCTGCACGACAATGTGTTAACCAGCACGTTCCGTGCCTCCTTCCAGTTCTTCCACAATGCAGACATCGGCAGCATCACCAATAGGTCAGAACCAGCATCAGCACCAGCATACCTTTCCCTCCGGAGCTAACCACCCTCGCACATCACAGATTCAGCCAAGACATGGACCTGATCGACATGCGCCTGCCCGTCGAAGCACTCAACGTAATCGCAAGTAAGTCATGCACCCTTCCAGCCCTACATTGCCTCCCTCCCTCCCCGCAGTCTAACCCCTCGAAACAGTGCTATCCACCTGCCTGGTCAAACTGGTCATTCTAGCCATCTTCGCCAAATACCTCGCCGCTGCGATCCCCTTCGCGGCCGCAATCGTCTACATGACCCAGAAGTTCTACCTGCGGACCTCGCGCCAGCTGCGGTTCCTCGACATCGAGGCCAAGGCGCCGCTGTACACGCACTTCCTGGAGCTGGTCAGCGGGGCGGCGACGGTGCGCGCGTTCGCGTGGCAGTCGCGGTTCGACGCGGCGTGCACGGCGCTGCTGAACACCTCGCAGCGGCCCGTCTACCTGCTGTACTGCGTGCAGCAGTGCTTGGGCTTCGTGCTGGACATCCTGGTGACGATCCTCGCCGTCATCCTCGTCGCGACCGTGGTCTTCCTGCGGGAGCGGTTCGATCCCGGCGAGGTCGGCGTCGCGCTGGTCATCGTCATGACCTTCAACCAGACGCTGATGCTGCTGGTCAAATACTGGACGCAGATGGAGACCTCGATCGGGGCGGTGTCGCGCGTCAAGGCCTACGCCGCCACCACCGAGCCCGAGGAGCGGCACCCGGAGCTCCTTGCCGCGCTGCCGGCGCCGTGGCCCCATGCCGGGGCGATCCAGCTGCGCGATGTGTTGGCTAGCCATTCGTGCGTCACCCCCTTCTCTGTCTGTGACATACAACAGCTAACACAGTGTACAGACAGAACGCCACCCCCGTGCTCAAGGGCATCAGCATGTCCGTGCGCGCCGGCGAGAAGGTAGCCATCTGCGGGCCCTCGGGCAGCGGCAAGACGAGCCTCATCCTGGCGCTGCTGCGCATGGTCGAGATCCAGGCGGGCTCCGTGCGGATCGACGGCCACGACCTGGTCGCCTACCCGCGGGAGGAGATCCGCGCGAATCTGACCGTGATCACGCAGGAGCCGTTCCTGATGACGGGCACCGTGCGGTTCAACATCGACCCGGTCGGCGGCGCGGCGGACGAGGCGATCATCGCCGCCCTGCAGCGGCTGCGGCTGTGGGAGCGCATCGAGCGCGAGGGAGGGCTGGAGATGGTGATGAAGCCGACCTCGTGGTCGTTGGGCCAGCGGCAGCTGCTGTGTCTGGCGCGGGCGATGGTGCGCAAGAGTCGTGTGTTGATTCTCGATGAGGCGACCAGCAGGTATGTATTCTTTTGTCCCTTGAGTTCTTTTTATGGGTGCTGGGGCTGGGCTGAACAATGTGTAGTGTGGATCACGAGACGGAGGATATCATGCAGGATGTCATTGAGACGGAGTTCGCGTCTCACACCGTGCTGGCGGTGATGCATCGCCTGCGGTTGATTCATCGGTATGATCGGGTTGCGGTCTTGAATGCGGGTAGGTTGTTGGAGCTGGATAGTCCTGCTGCTCTGTTGGGTCGTGATTCTTTGTTTCGACAGCTTTACCAGTCTGGACATGGTGGTGCGAGTAGATGATGTTGGTGATGATGATGAGTGGTGACGATTGTTCACTAGAGCTGAGAGATGATGATATACACGAAGCCACGATACTATACACAGAAGAATAATACTATACACATGCGAGCCAGACAACCTCACCACTCGCGCCGAACACGGATCGCGTAAGAAGGCTCCTCACTCCCTCCCTGCAGGGTATACACATCCAACCTCTCCGGATCGTATCGATGGTTGTAAAGCTTCATCCCCGGCGGACACGAGACCAGCTTCTCCAGGGCCCTAACCACCTCCCACGCCCAATCGATCTCCGCGCCCAACTCCCTCGCCAGCATATTACAGCGCACCATAATCTGCCAGCAGCGGTGCAGATACCGCCGCAGCTGCCTGCGATTCCGCTCATGGAGCGGATCATGCGGCACGCATAGCCGCGATCGGGGCTCCTTGTTGCCCTCGTCGCTCAAGGTCGTCATCTCCGCCGCCCAGTCGTCGGGCACGCCGCGCTCGCGGAGATAGGCCTCGACGCGCGCGGTGTCCTGTTGACTCGGACGGAAGCCCGCTTTGTCAGACGCGAGGAACAACGGGAAGGGCAGCTCGCCGTACGTGAAGCAATCCTTCTCCTTGGCCTCGGCGAGAATGGCCAGGAACGCGTCCACGGAGACGTCCTCGTGCTGCTGCCACAGCCGCTTGAGGCGGTCGCGCCGTCCCTCCTCGTCTCGTGCGCAGGACTCCTCGTACCACGGATCTCCCTGCTCCAGGATCCGCACCTGGCTCGCGAAGCCGAACTGCGGCTCCAGGCCCAGAAACTGGCGGTGCGGGTACCGCGACATCTCCGTCGCTTGCCAGAGGCGCGTCCATTCGTCGACCGGGCGCTGGTACATTTTTGTGGTGCGGTAGTCGTGCGCATAGGCCCTGGTCCCGGCTGCATGCTCCGAGGCCGAAGAAGAAGAGGAAGAAGAGTGTAACTCCGGGAAGCAGTAGAGAGTATTTAACGTCAGGTACATCTCCAGCGCGGCGTCGAAGATCGGGCCCCACCCGTGGTCCATCTCACACTGCCTCAGTTAGTCATGACGATAATCAACTCGAGCTGTACAACACATAATTGCAACTTGGAAACCACCCGCCAATTACAACAAGGGAAATGAAAATGGGAGGGAAGCGGCGGTACTCACTAGTTCAATGCAGGAACAATCCTGCACGCGCATCCACTCCTTCAGCCCGATGTCGGGATGCGCGCACAGCCGGAAAAGGATATCCATCTCTCCGAGCACGAGCAGGGTGCTGACGACCTGCAGATTGAAGAACCCCTCGCCGTTGACCTCTTCGAACCGGAAACAGTCGTTCCATTGGTACGGCCGGAGGAAGGCGGCGGCCCGGCGCTCGGTGTATGGGAGCGGACAGCCGCAGGCAAAGTCGGTGGTGCTGTCGATGTGCTGGCATAGCTGCTGCGTCTTTTGAATGTTTCTCTTGGGGTGGTGCCAGCGAAAGGTGAGGGGGTGGATGCGCGCGGCTAGGCGGTCATCTAGGAGGAGTTCGTCGCGCGCCGGCGGGAGGTATTTCGGGGCGTACTGTTGCCGCGCGGCGGTTGTGTCCTCGTTGAGGGCGCGGGCGAAGGAGGTGACGAAGTGGCCTAGATCCTTAGCTTGGGTGGGGAGGAAGCGGAAGTAGAGGTTAGCGATGGTGGTGTCCGGGCTGGTGTGGGTTGGGGCACGGTGGATGAGGTGCGAGGTTAGGCTGCGCCAGGGGATACGGTGGGCGCGGTGGGCCATTGGGGATGGGAGGATTGAAGATTGGAAGACTTGATCGATAAAGCTAGCTGTGTGAGCTTACCTTATAGTTCAAGGGGAAGACCCTGATCAGGGGCCACAGACTACGGGGTCATAGTAAGACCTAATTGACTAGCAAACTCATTCCTGTGCTAGGAGGTAGTGAAATCGCCTTCCTTGTTTAGGACTTTTGGCTTGGATTAGTACTGTGGCTTTTCCTGATCAGCCTAGAGTAGTTCAAGGTCCAATATAAAAGAAGGGTAGCTGGCCGTCGGACTCCGGGTGGGCCCAGGGTCCCTCGGAGCTTATCGGGGCACTGTCCTCCCCGAGTCAGCGCGAGTCCCTAATCTTGTCCTAGGGCTTATTAGGGCTGCAAGGACTATATTAAAAGGACCCATAATGGCATGTATCCAGATGAGATGTCCTGAGTTGGTAGGAGATCTGATCTAGTAAGATTAGGTACAATTTTGCACGGTTCAGGCTAATAAGATGGTTCTATCCAAATATTACAACCGAAGAACTCCTGGGTTCTCTCTACTCCATGACTGGTGGGACCTGTCTCTTTTCGCATGCACCAAGTGCGGTGTACTACCCTCTTGCTATAAAGTAATCCCTTACCACCTGCTAAGCAGCCCTGCCCGGGGAGAATCCGTGCGGCTATTGTGGAACCGCCGTGCTGTACCTATGGAGTACGGAGGGATCTTTGGAAGCCATATACAAATAGAGGTAGCGCTCCAATCCTTTTCTCCCAGTTCCAGTTCACTTCACCCGCATACATCATAAGTCCTCCGCATACAAACACTCCCACCTCATAAATATAGATAAAATGAATATATAATATAAATAATTTACATCATTCTTATCATAATTTTTAATGTATATATTTTATCTAACTTGATATCATTATCCTGCTGTTTTGATTATATGTCAATTTCTTCATTTCGATAGATATTAAATTATAATTTAATCCTTAAATTTACAAATTTTTATTAGATATTGATCAGATTTCTGAGCTCTCAGGGCTGACGCCACGAAGACCTCGTTGTTCGCTGGGTGCCATTAGTAGTCGGTACACAATCGCCTGGTGTAGCACCACAGACCGAGATCTTCGTCGGAAAACAAGACTGCGTTTACAATAACCAAAGATTTGCGAACGACGTACTATACAGAGGACTGGCGAGGTCCCGGGTGGATGTTTTGGTCATTAGGTGTGAACAATGATGGTAGAATGTTGCAGCTTCCCTACCGCTTACCACTGGGGCTTGAAAGTGAGTTTCACGAAGCGCGGTTTGCAAGATTGGCCTTGAGACCTTGAGCTTCGACAAGACATGGTGGAAGTTGCTAGTCAATAGCATTGATTGAGTTGGAGATATCTTAAGATCCGCTCTTAAGCCACTAACCCAAACCTGCATAGTGCGAATCGCAATCCCGATAGATTTCGGAGCTGAACGATAGTATCGGACATAGACAGACAGTGTATCAACATCAAAGAGTATATAAGGAAAGACAATGCCAACCCAAAACCAGAACGATCAGCTCACCATAGTCCTACCACAATACACCCCGCCCCAAAATGCGCCCCAACCCCAACCCCATCCCGACAACCTTCCTCTCACGCAACAATCTCCAGCTAGCCGCCCATCTGTACCCGCCGTGCCGCAATGCCCCCTCCCGCGCCGGCGCCGCCATCATAATCGCCCACCCGTGGACTTCCATCAAAGAACAATCCCCGGCCAACTACGCCCGCTACCTCTCCGCCGCCGGGTTCACCTGCCTGACCTACGACGCCGCCCACCACGGCGAATCCCCCGGCCACCCCCGCCACCTGGAAGACCCCTACCAGCGCGTCGAGGAGATCAAGAACGCAGCCACCCACCTAGCCACCAACCTTTCTGACTTGGTGGATCCCCACCGCATCGGGGTCCTAGGCATCTGCGCCGCAGGCGGGTACGCCGCCTTCGCCGCGCAGACGGACCTGCGACTCCGGGCCGTGGCGACCGTCTCCGCGGCGTGCGTGGGCGAGTTAGTCCGGCGCGGGGGTTCTTTATCCCAAGACACCGTTGACCCGGAGATCCTGCAGACGCAACTTGCGCTAGCAGCAAAGGACCGCACTGCCAGGGACCTAGACCTCTCCAACCGGGCAGAAGGAGATGAAGATGAGGATCAAGGTGTAGGGCTGGTGCGAATGCTCCCGCAGCGCTACGAGGACCTACCCGCCGATGCACCCCCGGCCATGCGGGATTTCGCGGCATACTACTGCACCCCCCGGGGCCACCATCCCCGGGCCGAAGGGGTGGCGCGCGCGCAGAGCTGGGATCTGATGGCGAATTTCGAGGCGTTTCGGTTCATGGATAGGGTTAGTCCAAGGCCGGTGTTGATGGTTGTTGGGGAGAGGGCGGAGAGTCGATGGGTGAGTGAGGCTGCTGTTGAGCGGGCAAGGGAGCCGAAGGAGGTGTTTGTGGTGGAGGGGAGGTCGCATGCTGATTTGTATGATCGCGTCGAGGAGGATGGGGTCGGGGAGAAGTTGGTGCAGTTTTTTATGGGGGGGTTGGTGGGGGTTTAGGGTTGGATTGGGTGGCGGTATGAGTGCTTTCACGACTGGAGTAGGGCTTCGGACTCTAGCACTCAGTGGTGAGTTTTTATGGTCGGCAAGTTGAGAAAGATTTTTGTACATAAGTACAGGTGGTTCTTTGGCCTTCCAGTGATTATACGAGAGCCATAAAAAGGCACAGAAGATTGGAGAGATCCACTATAAATGTGGGGTGAAGATAAATAATGGTTAAACGCAAAAGTGTGGATATCCATCCTTAGGGTTGGTATCCTCTAAATGCCTTTATTGCAGTTCGGAACACATGTAGCTGTCAAGATGCAGTTATAGTTCCATCAAAATGAAGTCATTATCATCATTATCCGCGAATTATGCTGTACATACAATCACTGTTTATCATCATTCTAAATCATCACGCTCATCACCCAGTCAAATGCTCTATTGCGCAACAAGAACACCCCTGTATCTCATCTTGCCTTCATTCAGCGTTTTCAATGCCTCCTGCACACCCTCCTGCGTCAACGGGAAGGTCATCTTGATAGGCTTGATGCCGTGCAAGGCAGCGAAGGCCAGCATGTCGCGGTGGACCTGTCTCGCGGAGACGATGCCGCCCTGCACGCGCAGACCACTGGTGAGAAGGGTCATGTAGGGGAACTTGAACTCGGAGCTGTCGACGGAGAGCGGCGAGATAACAGCGCCGGGGGCCAGGACGGAGGTGTAGAGGTTCCAGTCGGGCTGGCTGCTGGTGGAGACGATCAAATGATTAAGAGGCTTGCCGATCTTGAGCTCCTTGGCGCCCTTGGTCGCGTGGAACTCCTTCGCGCCCAGCTTGAGCGCCTCCTCCTTCTTGCTGTCACTGCCGGAGAACACGACGACGTCGCAGCCCATCTTGGCGGCGAACTGGATGGCCAGGTGGCCGAGCCCGCCGATGCCGACGATGCCCACGCGGGAGGTCGACTTCACACCCGCCACAACGAGGGCGTTGAAAACGGTCGACCCGCCGCACATGAGCGGGGCCGAGTCCTCGTTGCTGAGCCCGTCGGGGATCTTGAACAGGAAGGCCTCGCGCCAGACGGCGTGGGTGGCGAACGAGCCCTGATCCAGATCCGCCCCCGCATACATCGCCCGCTCCGGGCACATCGTCTCCCACCCCGTCAGGCAGTTGGAGCACCGCCCGCAGCAGTCGTGCTCGTACCCCCAGCCCACCCGGTCGCCCTTCTTCAGGTCCTGCACCTCAGGGCCCACCTCCTCGACCACGCCGGCGCCCTCGTGGCCCAGCGCCATGTCGGTTGTCTGGTAGTGCAAATCCGTCCCGCACACCCCGGAGTGGGTGACCCGCACCAGCACTTGGTCTTTCTTCAGCTCATCGCGGTGGGTGGTGGCTTGCTTGATGGATCCGTCTTTGGATCCTTTGTAGACGGTGAAATCGTATCCCATGGTTGCGATTGGTGTATAGGTTGGTAATGAGGAGAACTTCGAGAGATAGTGTAAGGACCTTGCAAGAATCCCGATAGAAATGGGTTCTCTTTCGTCCGGGCTATATAAGATGTCGGGGAGAAACATGATGTCACCGGGATCCACCGAAAATTGCCGCATGCGGTAATTTCGGCAGGCGACGGAGCCAGCGATGATATCAGGTCAGGATGAGGTCAGTCCAGTCTATTGTTACTTCTGCGCACCGTGCGCCTGGTGAATGATTCAGTAGTGACGCGATTAAATAATAAAGTTCTGATATTATCTCGGCTAGCCGTGCATGTGGTATCTTTCATGGAAGAACATCGAAGTATTACCAATCCTTATCTCGGGTTTGTCATGATTGAGTGTTTGCATTAGTTTCAGGGCATGATTAGGAGAATGGTATTGCAGCCTGGCACAACGAGCTTAATTGCATGTGGGATTGGAATGTGTCAAGCTGGGCTGCATGGAGCGTTGCCAAGCTCATAATGCATGGCTGGATACTCGCCGATCACTTGGTGCCTTAGGCATAAAGACGTATTCCTCCTTTTACCAGCGCCGTCTCTTAACACAGCCATGCTGGACGGAGGTTGGAATGATACGAAGTCTGATACTGAGGTTTTCTGCTAACTCAATATGCTAAGAAAAAGCGATCATATAGATTTCCTGTGGTAGCTATCTCCCGGCTAGTTTGATCCCCCAGCAACAAAACAAAGATAGGTCCAAGAAACGCCGGTGCCGTCCCCAGTCTCATATCACTAACCACACCTCCATCCCTTTGATAGAATTCTCGCAGAAAAAAAGGAAAAACACATTAAAGAGAAAGAAAGAGTAGGGTGCAGTCTCTTGCTTGGAAGATTCAAACAGAGAAGCCGAGTCGCTTATCTCCTGACAGCACGGACAGCGTCGATTGTGATGGTCCTGGGATACCAAGACTTTGCAACAACCCGGGACAGATGAGGGTACGTAAGAATCACAAGCGAATGGAGAGCCGCATTAACAA